CACACTCATGTTTGGGGATTCCTGGGGAATTCATGATTAGCCTGTATCACTGAACAGCTGACTGTCCCCAAGGCCCATCCTCACCCACAGCAGCCATGTCCAGAGTTCAAAGCCATCAGGTCAACATAATTCTATAGCAGACCAACGTATTTGGGCTAGCACATTGCTGGCTCTCTGATTGTATATGTGTGCTTTTTTAAATATATATTGTGTGATATGGTGTCACTCTGTAGACCCAGCCAGCCTCGAACTCAAGAGATTCACCTGTCTCCAGAGTGCTGGGATTAAAGGTGTGTGCCACCACACTCAGCCATAAGTAGATTTTTTTTTTTTTTTTTCTTTTTTCTGGGACAGGGTTCCTCTGGGCAACAGCTCTGGTTGTTATGGAATTAGCTTTGTAGACTAGGCTGGTTTTGAATTCACAGAAATCTGCCTGCTTCTGAGTGCTGGTATTAAAGGTGTGTGCCACCACCACCCAGCTGTAAAGTTTATTAATGAAAAAGCAAAAATAGGTCAGAACATGGTGGTGCTTGCCTTCTGAGCATTTGGGAGACAGAGGCAGGCGGATCTGTGAGTTTGAGGACAACCTGGTGTACAGAGTGAGTTCCAGGACAGTCAGGGCTACACAGAGAAACTCTGTCTCAAAAAAACAAAACAACAAAAAACAAAATTACAAATAAAGAAAGAAAGAAAAACCAGGAAAGCAGGGTTTAGGGTGCCCTCTAGAGGCCAGGTCTGGTTACAATCGAGACAAAAAAACACCATAAATTAACAAAAGTCCTTTAAGGAGATTGTCATGGTCCATCCTAAAATCCTGCCACATGGAAGGAAAAAGTGAGAGGATTTCTCAGAATCCAATGCCAGCCAGGGAGACATAGGCACTTACCTCAAAACATGAGCAGAGAGAATGTCTACAATGATTGGTGGTATAGTTCAGGGTGGAGCCACGCCTAGAATCCAACACTGCCTTGAGCTCCCTCTAGCCCCATTCTCTTCCACCAATAAGCAAATAGCACCCTAAAAATGAAGAAACAGCAACAAAAGTAAGGAGAGAAATAAAAGAAATGTCCAGGGATCACAGAATCAGGCTGTTGTTTGAAGCCAGGGCTCATATAACCCAGACATTTCCCCAACAGGATGGTAAAGAGACTCTGATCTTCGTCCCTTGTGTCTTCCTCTACGGCCTATTGCATTTGTGGTTCTTCCCTTTTAATATTGTCTCCAGAGGGTGACTCGTCCCAACGTCAGGGACGACCCTCCACACACCTGTTCAGTGTCACAGGACTTGTAGCTAGAAACCCAGCAGAAGGGCCTAGACCTTCCTGACCAGCCTGTGTCATCCATGGTCCAGGGACACCACAGAATCTAAGAACAAAGCAGGATGGTGGGTGGGCAATGCACTTGCGAGGCAGAGGCAGGCAATCTCTGTGAGTCTGAGGCCTGACTGGTCTATAGAGTGAGTTCCAGGACAGGCTCCAAAGCTACACAGAGAAACCCTGTCTTGACAAAACAAACAAACAAGGTAGAATGGAAGAGAGAGACAGATAGACAGACAGAGGAACCATAAGCTGAGGGATGCAGAGGCTTCTTGGGGCTGCAGACAATGACCCAGGCAGCTCCACCTGGACTTTAGCTCAGGCAGGTCCTTGTCTGACTCTTCATCCCAGAATATGGACTAAACTACATTGTGTTAGGATTATGTGTGGGTGTGGGGCACAGCTGAGTGTGCAGGAAGCCCCAGGCTCCATCCCTAGCAAGGCAAATGAGCCAGCTCAGCACTTAGGAGCTGGAAGCAGGGACATCAGGAGTTCAAGGTCGTCCTCAGCTAAGTAGCCTAGGATACATGCATTTATTTATTTATTTATGGCTTTTTGAGACAGGGTTTCTCTGTGTAGCTTTGGAACCTGTCCTAGAACTTGCTTTGTAGACCAGGCTGACCTCAAACTCACAGAGGTCTGCCTGCCTCTGCCTCTGGCTCCGCCTCTGCCTTTGGTGTGCTGAGATTAAAGACATGCACCACCACCACCGGGCATTATAGAGAGATGTTTTATGAACACTTCAAGAGCAAAGTCCCTTAATAGCAGGTGTTTAAAGATGGCGGCCTAGGAGCGCTGCCCCAATTCCCAGCCTTTGGCTATGAAGAACAGTGACTGGACTTGCCCAAACAGTAAAGACATTTATAAGCTGTCATGGCCTGCAGGTAAGGTGTGATCCAGCCTGTTCAGAACTGTTCAGATGGGTTATCCTGGGACTGGGATTTCTTCTCTGGAATGGGGTGAGGGCAACCCCCCTCCCCACCCCTCTGCTCAACCTGTTTCTGGATAAAGTGTCATGAGACTCAGGACTGAACCAAACAACTGGTGTTGTGCTTATCCTCCCATTTCCTTCCCCTCTCTTTAAATTTTATTTATTTATTTATTTATTTAAACAATATTTAGTCTGGGGCTGGAGACATGGTTCGGTGCTTAAGAGCACTGGCTGCTCTTCCAGAGGACCTGGGTTCAATTCCCAGCACCCACATGGCAGCTCACAACAGTCTGTAACTCCAGTTCCAGAGGGCCTGATGTCTTCACAACATCACACATAAAATAAAGTTAAATAAGTTTATTTAAAAAATATTTAGTCTGATGCAGTTTCCCTAAGCAACCTACTCTACCTTTTAACCTGTGGTCCTCCTGCCTCAGCTTCCCCAGTTCTGGGATGGCAGGTGTTCCCTACCATGCCCAGGTGGGCAGGGATCTTTGGCAGACAATTGCAGGAGCTGCTCCAACCGTTGTCATGGCCACAGTGAGTGGAAAGACCTTAGAGTCTGGAGCAGGGGTCTCAGTTCCTACTTCTGAGAAACCAAGACACCAGACTGCATTCCCAAGCAGGGACTGGTGAGGGCGCCAACCTTCAGTGTTCACAGGCAACTCTGTCCACCTGAGCATGCTCAGCAGCTGGAAGGAGCTCCTGCCGGCTTCTGCTTACACCAGCACCCCTTCCTCTGGGAAGCTCTCCATGCTGTACCCCAGCCTGCTCTTGGAGCCACAGTGCTCCCTGCTCATACCCGTGGGGGGTTCATCCCTTGATGGCCCCACATGTCTGGAGGTGGCCAGTGCATATCTAATGACATTTGTTCTTGTTTTTTTTTTTTCCTATGATAGTATTTTTCATTTGTTCTTGTTTTGTTTGTTTTATAGACAGGGTCTCTCTTTTATGTAGCCTAATTGATTAGGAACTCACTATGTAGATCAAGCTGTCCTGGAATTACAGAGATCTGCCTCTGCCTCTCCAGTGCTGGGATTAAAAGTATCAGCCCCAAGTTTGATTTCCATTGAGTTTTGGATGTGATACACTCCTATTCCACCCCCAAAGCTTTTTTTGTGTGGGTGGGGGTTAGGGGTTGGGGTCTGGAGACCCTCAAAGGGTCTCAGAGTGTACACGTGGGACCCAGGCATCACAATCTGGGTCTTGGGTCTAGAATATGGGGCCTGATCTGCAATCTTGGGTCTGGGAGACGCTGGGCAGCGTGGGATCAATGGTCCCGGGTCCTGGGCCCTCCCTTCAAGCTGCTTCCCCCCTGTACAGACCTTCTATTAACTAGGTCCCTCCCCAACCTCTCAGGCCTTAGCCTCCCTTCTTTCCTAATCCACTCCCACCAGCTCCTCAGACTTCTCCTGCACTGGACTCCCTGTCCCTTCTTCGCAGGTCTGGTCTGACCTCCCTCCTCATCTCTGTGCCTCACCTCACTTTTTTCCTCATCTCCGTTTCTGGGATTGCAGTCAGTTGTGGGCTCTTATGTCCTTCGTCGTGATCGTGAGCTGAGTATCTGCGCTCAGCGGCATGTGTGCGTGTGGAACTAAGGCTCTAAGCAGAGGTTCTGAGCTCTCCTCATCCTCAGTTCCTCCTATCCTTCTCGCTTCCCCTACCCCAGCTTCCCCCCTCCACCTCTTCATCACTGTCCCTTTTCCCTCCATCACAATTCCTACACCACCTTCCATTGCATACATAACTTCCCTACGACCCAACCCTCCTCCCGTGACCCCGCCCTCTGGACTGACTTGCTCAGACAAACCCCACCCCCCTCACCTCTTCCCTCTGCCTTTGCTGTCCCCCCCCCCCCCCCCGCCTTCTTTCCCCCTACTCACTCCCCCCTCCTCTATCCGCCCTTCTCTACCTGTCTCCACCCTTAGGTCCCTCCCCTTCCTCCCTTTTCCATCTGTTCCTCCTCCAGCTTCTTTCCCTGGTTCCTCCCCTCTTCCCTTCCCTCTGAACTCACCTCCCCCCTCCTACTCTTCCTCCATTTCTCCTCTCCAGGTCTTCTCCGCTGGCAGACCTGCCCCTCATCTTCCTGGTTCTTCTCTCTGCCCCTTCCTCTCCTCCATATCCCCTTCCCCTCTCCTCCTCCTCTTTCCGTGCCTCTCTAGTCTATCTGCCTTTCTTCACCTCTCCACACCTCTCTTGTCTCCCCTTTCCACCCTTGCCCCGCCCCTGCTCCTCTCTAGCCCCGCCCTCCTCTCCCAGCTCTTGTCTGTGCTCCTCCCTATATTACCTCATCCTCTTGTTCCTCTCATCCAATCCCTCCAGTTCTCCTCCTCTGCTCTCCCTCCTTTTCCCTTTCTCTGACCTAGTATCCAACACCCCATTCCAAGTCCCTTTTCCCTCTATCAGTTCTCTCCCTCCTCCCCTGGCTCGCTTCAGGCCCCTCCTCTTCCTCGTCTGACCTGGCTCTGCCACGCCCCTTCTCTATCCTTGCAATCTCTTCTCCCTCCTCTCCTCTCTTCCTTTCCCCTCCGTCCCCATCTCTCCTTACAATCTACCCTCTTCCCCCTCCTCTCGTGCTCCCTCTGCATGCCCCACCCCTTCTTAGCGTTGCCCTTTCTCCCTCCTCCCTGGCTGCCCATCAGCTCCTCCCTCTTTCCCTTCTCCTCTTCCTCCTCGCAGGCCCCGCCTCCCCGGAGCCCCGCCCCTCAGCCATCTTTCCTCGCGCCTTTCAGGTTCCGCCGTCCTGAAGCCCCGCCCACATGACCACGCCCTCCGTAGCCCCGCCCCCGCGCCGCAGCGACAAGATGGCGGCCGGCGGCAGCGGGCGCGCGTCGTGCCCGCCGGGGGTAGGACCTGGCACAGGCGGTCTGGGGCCCAGCGCCAATGCCGCCGCGGCCCCCGGCAACGCCGCCGCCTGCGCTCCGGGGCCGCCGCCACCTCCGTCCCCCCCACCCGGGCCCGGGCCGGATGCGCCGGCCGTGGGTGACGAGCGCGACGACGCGGGCCCGGGCGCGCTGCTGCGCGAGCCCGTGTACAACTGGCAGGCCACCAAACCCACGGTGCAGGAGCGCTTCGCCTTCCTCTTCAACAACGAGGTGCTGTGCGACGTGCACTTCCTGGTGGGCAAGGGGCTCAGCTCGCAGCGCGTCCCTGCGCACAGGTGGGCCGCCGGGACGCGCCCGGTCCCTGCAACCCTAGACCCTGCACCCCTGGACCCTGAACCCCACCCGGACCCTGCACCCCAGGAACCAGCGTCCTGGAATCCTGCACCCTACCCAGGACCGTGCATCACATATCCTGCACCCCACCTGGACCCTGCACTCCAAACCCTGTATCCTACCCAGACCCTGCACCCCCATCCTGTTCCCCTCCTGGATTCTGAACCTCATCTGGACCCTGCTCCCCATGAACTCTAGAACCCTGCAACCGAGACCTTGAAATACCTAGGATGTGTACCTCAGACCCTGCACCCTCCTATCCAGACCCTGCATCCCCATGTCCTGAACCCTAAATCCTGCAATCAAACTTTGGGCCCTGCAACCCAATCTTAATCTCAAGACACTGGACTGCATCCAGATCCTTTATCCCTAGATTCGGCACCCCAGACCTTGTACCTACAACACTGTACCCCAAAAACCTGCAATCCACCCAGGACCATGTACCTCAGACTGTAATCACCCAGACCTTGTGTCACCCCAAGACACCCTGAGGCTAAAACTTCGGGCTTTGTGTCTTGGCATTCCTGTAACTGTCTCCTGAACCTAGTTCTCAGATACCCATACATCACAGTCCAGTTCCTGAACACAGGGAACCCACACTACTGGACTCCCATATTGGGTCCTGCCTTTCTTGGACGTGGTCCTCAGGTCCTGCTCCTGACCCTCCATCTAGGACGCTTCTTGCTCCGGGGACCCTCCAGCCACCCCCACCACTCCTTGTTCTCTGACTTGTCCAATTTCCTAGGAACCTCCCATCCCCTCCTTACCCTACCATCCTCACACCCTGTGTTTGTGCCTCTTACCAACTGACCTCAGGATATCTTCCCCAAAGATGCTCGCCGTGCTTCCCTGTGTACGTACCCCTTGCTCTTGCCTCTCATTCTTCCTGCCTTGGATTCTCTGCCTGTCTGAGCCAGTCCCCCTAGACCTCACAGAGAAATCTAATTCATGGCCCCACTGAACACTTTGGGAGTGGGCAAGGGTCCTGCACAGCCTTAAAAAGGATTGGACTTTCAAGTGTTCCCAGATACTACCTCACTACCTGCTGATGGTGTCTGGGCACATTGGCACACTTGTGATAGTTCCTCAGGCTTGGTGACACAGTGGGGAACATAGAACCCTGGGAAGGAGAAAAGCCGTCTCCTGTTGGAGTGCTGGGGGAGGGGGCAGAGTTTAGAGGACTTAGTGTGTGAGAAGCAGCAAGGACAGAACAAGAAGATTGATGGGTACCATGACCCCCCATGGAGCTTGCAGAGAAGAGGGGCTTGGCAGATGGTAGGGTGGGCAGTGGAGGGCATGGCACTGTGGCTGGTGGCTGAGAGGTCGATGGCCGGACTTGTGCAGCATCAGAAAGGCTCCCCCATCTTGAGCTCTCTGGGCCTCAGTTTCCATGCCTGCGTAGACTCACAACCCTGTCTGGGGCTGCTGGGGTATGCTTGTGACTGTCCCTTGTGGTTCAATTGGAGTCTACTGGTTGCTGTAGGGTGGGGACATGTGATCTTCTGTCAGTGGTGGCATCCTTGGGCCTGACTCCCACCCACCACCATTGTAGGTGACAATATGGACAAATGGCTGAAAGTATGGAGTAGGAAAACAATATGTGTGGCAATGCAGGCCATGAGATCAGCTACCTTTTGGCTGAGTCAGGGAACTGCAAATTCCAGATCCACTCTGGCAACCTAGGAGATCCTGTCAGAAAAAGGAAAAAGAGCCAGGTATGGTGGCACTCCCCCTTAGTCTAGCATTTGGGAAGAAGAGGCAGGTGGAGCTCTGAATCCAAAACCTATAGCAAACTCCAGAACAGCCTCAAAAAACAAACAAAAACAATGATCAAAAAGAAAAAAAAAGTAAATTGAAGACTTGGGGTGTGGCTCAGGAGTGGAGGCCCCTGGACTCCCCCAGTGAGGGGCTGGGGTTGTGGCTCACCTGCCTACCCTGGCTCATTGGAGGCTGGACAGATGGCTCAGTGGTTGAGTGTATGTGTTTTGCAGAGGGCAAATAGCTTCAATTGTCTGCAGCTACCGTGATGCCTTGAAACAGCTTGTAGCTCTTGTTCCTGGGATTCTGGAGCTTCTGGTCTCTGAAGGCACTTGTACTCATGTGCCCATAATTTCAAAGGAAAGGGAGAGATTAAAGAGCAGCCGCTTCCAACCTGGGAAAGGTAGGAAGGTCCTCCCAGAGGCCCTCCATAGACTGCGCAGACCTGGGTTCCAGGATGTGGTCTTCAGGACCCTGTAGTACTCTTCTATTCCTTAGTTTTGGGGCCTGAGGATCTGTGTGGTAGACAAACTCTCCACTGAGGCATACCCTGAACCTCCCAAGTTCCTGTGGTTTCTGGCCACTCTGTGACCACAGAACAGATAAAAACCTACTGTAGTGAGATCAGGAGCAGTACCTGGCTGGGCCTCTGTCAAGGTCACAAATGACAAATGTTAGGGAAATCTGTCAGCCTAGAGGAACACTAGGGTCTTATGCTGATTGGGGTCCTAGTTGGGTACATGGACTGACATTAGAGGAAAGCTGTGTGACATCTCAGGCCACCCAGAGAATCAGAGTGGCAAGCTGAGTGGTGCATGCCTGTCACCCAGCTCTCTGGAGGCTGAGGCAGGAGGATATCTGGAGTGCATTCTTGGCTAACTACTGAGTTTTAGGGCAGCCTAAACTCATGGGACCCTATCTACAAAACAAACAAAACAGGAATTGGAGAGACAGTTCAGTGGATGAAGTGTTTGCATCCACATAAAAGCCAGATAGACAGCTGTGAAGATAGGGGATGTTTGGAGAAGCCTGGCAGGCCAGAGCCTGGGATTGGTAGGCTTGGGGTTCAGTGAGACACCCTGTCTCGGTAGAGAAAGAAGAACGTGATCATGGTAGATACCCAGTATTGACTTGGCTAGCAAATCCATTGAAAGGGCCAAACATCAAGAGTTTTCAGCTGGGGTTGGCTGTAGCTCACTGGGAGAACACTTGTCTGTGATGTGCAAGGTCTAGGGTTCAAGCCCAAGACTGGAGGAAAAAAAATGTTTTGGCCAGTTATATTGACTCCATAGCAACTGTTCAACTTGGCTATATCCATAGGCAGGAGGAGCTTTGAGGGTGGGTACAGCTCTCTCTCTCTCTCTCTCTCCCTCTCTCTCTCTCTCTCTCTCTCTCTCTCTCTCTCTCTCTGTGTGTGTGTATGTGTGTGTGTGTGTGTGTGTATTTAGCTGGATTTTTGTTTGTTTTTTTTGAGGAAGGGTTTCTCTGTGTAGCATTGGAACCTGTCCTGAAACTAGCTCTTGTAGACCAGGCTGGCCTGAAACTCACAGAGACCAGCCTGCCTCTGCCTCCCAAATGCTGGGAGTAAAGGCATGGCCACCATCACCCAGCTTTATTATTTATTTTTATGTGTACAAGGTGTTTGCCTGCATGAATGTCTGTGTACTATGTGCATGCAATGCCCCCAGAGGCCAGAAGAGGGCATTAGTTCCCCTAGAACTGGAGTAACAGCTGGTTGTGAGCTGATGTGTGGCTGCTGGGAACTGAATTCGGGTCCTGTGGAAGAGCAGCCAGTGCACTAACCACTGAACCATACCCTCCTGCCACTTGCTTTTGTTTTGACAGGGTCTCATGTAACCAAGACTGGTCTTGAATGCTATGTAGCCAAGAATGACCTTGAACTCTTGATCCTCCTTCCTCTACCTCCCCATGCTGGGATGGTACATGTACTCCACCATTCGCGGAAGCCAGGGCTCAGTCTGCCAGCAAGCACTTCACTCACTGAGCCTGGGTTCTGGCAATTGAGTGCCTGTCCTAATGTTTTTGTTGTTGTTGTTTGTTTTTTAGACAGGCTGGCCTGGAAGCCCGCAGTAGCTCAGGCTGTCTTGAAACTGTTGCGGTCCTCCGGCCTCGACGGCCTCAGTGCTGGGATGATAGGCCTGCGCCTCCATGCCCTGCTCCTTTGGCAGTTTCAGAGGGGCCATCCACAGATTCCACACCACCTTGCCACGGGGCTTCTGAAGCCACCTGGATCAGCTTGGGGACCAGTGGGCAGAGCCTCTGCCTAGGATGCTTGTCCTCTGGGTGCGTGGATCCTCTGAAGCCCCTGAGGGTCCCTCCTGAAGCCGTCTGCTGCCCTCCTCCTTGTGGGCAGATTTCTTACTTTGGACAGACTGTCTTGCTTCAGTTTGTCTGTGTGTCTGGTACCTTCTGACTGAGCTGACCATGGAGTTCAGGGCCTGGAGCCTCACCAAACACCCAGCCATTCCACACCCCATCACCTTTGTGTGCTTTTGTTTCATTTTGTTTTTTGAGACTACATCTTGCTGTGTAGCCCAGGCTGGCCTGCAGCTCACCACAATTCTTCTGCCTCAGGCTCCTGGGGCCTGGGATGACAGGCGTGTGTTTCCATGCCTGGCCTATTTACTTACTTATTTAATGTTTTATTTGTTTGTTTTGTGTTCATTGGTGTTTTGCCTGCATGTATGTCAGTGAGAAGTTACCAGAGTCCTTGGAACTGGAGTTAACAGACAGTTGTGAGCTGCCATATGGTTGCTGGGGATTGAGCCCGAGACCTTTGCCAGAGCAGCCAGTGCTCCTAACCCCTGAAACATCTCTCCAGCCCTGCCTAACCCATTTATCCTTCTTAGCAGTCCATCCATGTAAGTTGGGAAAACATTATTTATTGTATTCTCTTACAATTCTCTTCATAGTTGGCAGTGGTGGCTCAAGCCTTTAAACCTAGCACTTAGAAGGCAGAGGCAGTTGGATTGCTATGAGTTCTAGGCCAGTCTAGTCTACCTAGTGAATTCATGTAGCCAGGTTTTTTGTTTTTGTTTTGAGACAGGGTTTTTCTGTGGCTTTGGATCCTGTCCTGGAGCTCGCTCTGTGGACCAGGCTGCCCTCAAACTCACAAAGATCCACTTACCTCTGCCTCCTGAGTGCTGGGATTAAAGGCAGGTGCCACCAATACCTGGCAGCTAGCCAGGTTTTTGTTTTTACAAGACAGGATTTCTTTGTGTGGCCCTGGCTTTCCTAGATCTTGCTCTGTAGACCAGGCTGGCCTTGAACTCAGCAGTGTGACTCTTCACAAGTAAATAAATAATATAGTCCCTCCATTTTCTTTCTTTTTTTTTTTTTAAGATTTATTTATTATGTATTTAGTGTTCTGCCTGCATGTGACTGCATGCCAGAAGAGGACACCAGATCTCATTACAGATGATTGAGTCACCATGTGGGTGCTGGGAATTGAACTCAGGACCTCTGGAAGAGCAGCCAGTGCTCTTAACTGCTGAGCCATCTCTCCAGCCCCTAGTCCCTCCATTTTCAACACCTGTCATTTTGAGTTGGAATATTGGGGATTTAGGTTTAGCCTGAGCTACATAGTTTTGCCTAAAGAAAACAAAAAAAAAATTTTTTTTTTTTTTGAGGCAGCGTTGTACTGTGTAGACCAGGCTGGCCTGGACCCACAGAGGTCCACCTGCCTCTACCTTTGAGTGCTGGGGTTAAAGGTGTGGCCATACTGTATGAGGTTATCCATGTGTAATAGGATTTGAACACATGCCCTTCTTACCTATGGAGTCCTCAGCCCTCCCCAGCTCCAGCTTTTGGGCATTGATGTACTTATACTAGCCTCATCATTTGCCTTGCTGTGTACTCCTGGTACAGGATGAGGATGTCCAAGTTCACAGTGAGCTGATCCATCTTTAAGGTTCCTGGCCTTGCACTGTGTGTAGTGGTGCAGGTTTATGATCCCAACAGTGAGACTGAGGCAGGAGGATCTTGAGTTCAAGGCTAGCTCAGGCTATGTGGTGAGATCCCATTTGAAACAATGGCAGAAGATGTATTTTAATTGTGTGTGCTTGTGTGTTCATATGTGTATATGTGTTTGTACATGTGTTTATATGTGCGTGTGTGTCTCATGCATGTGTTCATACAGGTGTTCATGTGCCTATGCCTGTGTGTCTATACCTGGCGAGTGTGCCAGCCGGAAGAGTCCAGTTATTGGGTCCCTGAAGCTGGCTTCGAGTGCCCAACATGGGTGCTGGGAGCTGAACTTGGCTTTTTGCAGGAGTGGCTTGTGGTCTTAACCAGTCCCCAATTCACCTTTCAATTGCACCAAAGCATGGATCACGGAGATGGCGCCCACTGACTTAGTGTGCAGTAGCACTACTGTCCAGCATGAATCGTCTTCCCAGCAGTAGCCTGTGCGTCCTCCCTGTCCTCTGGTTCCCTCACTGAGCATGCTGTCTCCATTTTCCATTCTCTGGGATGTATGATGTAGCCTTGTTCCTGTTCATGGCTGTGTGGTACTCCAGTGTGTAGACATGCTGAATGTCTGATCACACTTGGTGTATTATGAGCTGTTCCCACCTTTGGCTCCTGGGAACATCTGAGTATGTTTTGGCATTCATGTGTGTTCCTGTCTCCTACAAAGAGCTACAGAAGCCATAGTGGACAACAAAAGTGTACAGGGAAAGATTGGTTGCTGGGAGAATGGAGGTGGGGACAAGCAGTTTCTGGTGTCTCCTCTGGGATAGGTTGCTCCATTACTGTGAGTCATGTAGGGCCAGGTGCGAGCATCTGTGTCAGGTGGCTATGGCTATGCCCGTGCATCTGGGTGCCTGAGTTTCTGATTTTGGCTTTTGCGTGGTTGGTGGAGGCTTCCCTGTGGGGACAGGATGCTTCCTAAACAGAAAGAAGAGGCGCAGGCAGGGAAGTTATTTCTGGCTTACTGCTGCGTGGGCCTGGAGCCGGAGAGCCTCTGCTGTGACAAGCATTCAGGGTTCCCAACCTCCACCTGGATCAGGATGGGGGTGGGGTGGGGTGGACAGGAGCTAGAATGTAGACTGCAGGGCTCTGACTAAAACCTCAGAGCCAAGACCCTGGTCCGGCCAGTTACACTCTTTCCAAGGCCCCCAGATGCGTCCATTCTGACTATCTGAACACCAGTGTTTGCCTCAGTTTTTCCTCAACCATCTCCACTTTGGCTTTGCAGTGATGGGCGTGAAGTCTATAGGTATGCACATGCTAGATGGGTGCTGAATTGCTGAGCAATGCTCCATCCCCTCATTGGGGGATTCTAAGCAGGGGTCCTACACCATGACCACACACCCCTTCACTGGGGGAATTCTAGGCAGGGCTCCACCCCTGACCACACCCCCAGCCCCTCACTGGGGGATTCTAGCCGGGGCTCCATCTCTGAGTCTTTTCCTTTTTTTATTTTTTCAGACAAGGTCTTACTGAGTTGCCTAGGTTGCCCTGAACTCCTGTCGTGCTTTGGTTCCTGCATAACTGAGGTGACAGGGCATGTCAGCCAGCTGTCAGTTCTTTCTCTGTATGTCTGCTCATGCTTCCCTCCTGAAGGTGCCTGCCTCCCTGCTTCCTCTGTGATTAGTCTCAGCTAATTCCATTTGGGAGGGTCAGTTCCCAAGAGAGGCTTTAGGTGTGCTGGGTTGCTACCTGGGTCATGGTGGTGCCCGGTCTGATCCATGTCCAGTGTAACAGACAGCAATGGTCAGACTCTGGGCAGGATGGGACTTTGACCCCATGTGGCTGGTGAGGCTCACATGACCCATGGGATGGGCTAGTGAGTCGGAAAGGGGCCTCCAGAGAGGGTGCATCCACAGGTATGATAGGTCCTAGGTTCTATGGAGGGTGGCAGACTGTCCAGCTTCAGCAGTGGTTCTGTTGTGGTTGCTAGTTCTGTCTTGCTCATGGTTCATGGCCCATCTGCATGTCCGGAGGTGCCTGCTGGGAGTCCGAGCTGGGCTGCCCCATGGCTGTTTTCCCCACTAGAACATGAGCTGTGTTCCAAGCCGTCACTGCCATCGTGCCCTCCTTGTCCTGGCCCACCCACACTGCACCAGCTGGAGCGGTCATGGCAGTCACATGACCCCTTTGCTTTTCATTACTCACCACAGGTTCCTAAGGCTCTTCCCTGTCCCTGCTGTTCCCCAAGCCCTAATGCCCTTCCCCAACTGTGGTCCCAGACCTAGGCTGTCCAGCCCCTGGGGTCCAGTCTGCATTCCCTTGTGAGGGTCAGATCCCCATGACTGTTACTGTGGCCCGGAGTGTTGAGGAAGGGAATGGACAGGGATGAGAGGAGGAAGGGCCAAGTGAACAAATGAAGGAATGAGCGAGGGAATGTGGGGAAGGAAGAGTGAGCAGGCATGTGCATAAACAACTGTGACATGCTGGCCCCTCTACAGCCTCCTCCTTCCGATTCCTTCTACAAGGATCTGAGGCCAACAAGGCCTCTACCAGGGTTGCTCCGAGTCTCTGCAGGTGGGTGTGACGGGTACTCTGGCTGGCCTGGGCCAGCAAGACTAACGGACAAGCACCCTCTCTTCTGGTTCTGGCTCAGGTTTGTGCTGGCCGTGGGCAGTGCTGTCTTTGATGCTATGTTCAATGGTGGAATGGCTACCACATCCACTGAGATTGAGTTGCCTGACGTGGAGCCTGCTGCCTTCCTGGCACTGCTCAAGTAAGTTTCCAGATCCTTGTGATTACAGCAAAGTGCTTGAATATGGGGTAGAGTATGAAAAGCCAGAAGACAGGCTGCTGTACATCTGGTACAGAGCAGAATATTCTAGAACACACCCAGAGAAGAGAGGTCATCCTTCAGAAAATTTTTTCAGAATGTTTTAGGGGCTGGAGAGATGGTTTAGCAACCCTATAACCCCGGGCAGGGGGTTGCCAGCTCCAGGGGGATCCAATACCCTGTGGCCTCTTCGGGGCCATACTTACATGGCATGCATAAACTCATGTAGAGCTCACATAAATGATATTTTTTTAATCCTTTAAAGAAGACTTAACTTTGTTATAGTTTTGAAACAGCCCATCTCCAAGAATGGGCAGTGTGCTGTGCGGTGTGAGCACTTATGCTGCCCTGACCAATGAGTGCCTGAGGTCAGTGTGGTTTTCTGTGATTTACCCATGATAGCCTAAACTTGGCCACAGGCTCATAGGCCCTGCTGTGAGTGGCACCCCAGGTTTGGCCTAGGGTGACCTGTGCATGGACATCTCATGGATGACAGCCTGGCCTTACTGAGAGGCATCCCCAGGGCAGGAGGTATTGATTGTGTCCGTTCTGGAAGGTGCTGAGCAGCCCTTCTCAGACATGCAATGCTTGGCCAGGTCTGGTGTATGTGCAGTCCCTAGATGGTCTCACAGCCCATGTCTCCGGCTCAGGTTCCTGTATTCAGATGAAGTACAAATCGGGCCTGAGACGGTGATGACCACGCTGTACACCGCCAAGAAGTATGCAGTGCCTGCACTCGAGGCGCACTGTGTGGAGTTCCTGAAGAAGCACCTGCGGGCTGACAATGCCTTCATGCTGCTCACACAGGTGGGTGTGGTCGCTGGGTGTCCAGTGATGACTGATGTGTGGGGTGTGTGCTTGTGCCTGTGTGCCCTCGAGGCTGCTGCCAGGTGTTCTCAGCTACTGTCTACTTTCTTTTTTGTAGTTTTTTTTTTTTTTTTTCCGGGGTGGGGGTGGGGGAAGGGGTTGTTTTTGTTTTTGGTGATGAGATCTCACTGTGTAGCCCCAGCTGTTCTGGAACTCACTCTGTAGACCAGGCTGGCCTGAATTAACAGAGATCTGCCTGCCTCTGCCTCCCTGTGCTGGGATTACTTGTGTGAGCCACCTCTGCCTGGCTTTTTTTGTTGTTGTTGCTTTCTCCTCTGAGACAGTCTGGCTCGGTAGCTAGGCTGCTCCACACTCCTGACCCTTCTGTCTCAACCTCAGATCTGGGGTGACAGGTGTGTGTCCTCCACACCTGGCTCCTCTACTATCGTTCTCATTTTGTGTATTCATGAGGGGTGTGTGCAGATGTGGGGCTCTGTGATGAGCACTGACCTTCCCCATCTCTGTCCAGGCTCGGCTCTTTGATGAGCCGCAGCTAGCCAGCCTGTGCCTGGAGAGCATAGACAAAAACACAGCCGATGCCATCGCTGCCGAGGGCTTCACTGACATTGACCTGGGTGAGTCAGGGCCAGTAGGTCTCAGACTCAAGGATCGTGCTGGGCTTGGGTCAGGTTGGAGATTCTGGTTTGAAGATGACAGGACATGGTGGGCCTGGCTGAAACAGATAGAGAAGGGCTTGGTAGCGGGGCTTGGCCTGTGACAGAGAACTTGGCCTACCATTCTGGGATCAGTGTTATCCCTGCCTAGAGAGACCACCGGGCCCTCCAAAGGAACATGTACACATGCCTTGGAAGGGCTCTGTGAGGTCAGAGCCAGAGGACATAGTCACAGGATGTGGGAATGCTCTCCTATGATCTCAGTTACCCCTCAGGAGGCTGAGGCAGAAGGATTGCTATGAGTTCTGGGTCTGTCTAGGTTGTAGAATGAGACCCTGTCTCCAAAAGAAAGAGGACTGGGACTTAGCTCAATCAGTAGACTGCTTTCCTAGCACTCGCCAAGCCTGTAACCTCAGCATTCAAGAGGTAGAGACAGGATGGCCAGGGGTTCAAGGCCATCTCAGCTACCTAGTGATTTCAAGGCCATTCTGGACTACATGAGACTGTGGAAGGGAGGGAGGGAAGGAGGGAAAGAGGGAGAGAAGCAGGCAGTGCCTAAGGAAGGCCATATGTCAATAAAACTTGATAATCATGGACAGAGGGTCACAGCTGCCAAGCCCTGGCTATGAGGTGGTTCTTTTTTGGGGTTGGTCTACACATAGCCCATGTGGTTACAGGGCACCAGGGCTCACAGCTTCTCTCTGCCACAGACACGCTGGTGGCAGTGCTGGAGCGTGATACTCTGGGCATCCGTGAGGTTCGTCTATTCAATGCTGTAGTGCGCTGGTCTGATGCTGAGTGTCAACGGCAACAACTTCAGGTGACACCAGAGAACAAGAGGAAGGTGCTAGGCAAGGCCCTGGGTCTCATCCGGTTCCCCTTAATGACCATCGAGGAGTTTGCTGCAGGTAACAGACTTGCACAGCTGGTGCCGTGACACCCTCCATGCACATGTCTGTCAGGCCTACTTGGGAACATGCCCTAGGACCCTAGTGTTTCTACATCTTGGGGTCATGTCCTATCCACCACTCAGGATTCATCTGGCTAGGGCTCAATTGGTATCCCGGTACATGGACAGGCAGGGTCACCGGCTCAATATGAAGCAAGGGTGTTCCACAGCTGGGCTCCAGAGGGATCCACACAAGTGGGTGTCTGCCAGCTCAGAGTGTCAGGCAGAAGACATTGTGGTGGATACCAGAAAGGACATATGTCCCAGCCTGAGGGGCAGGCCCTGAGTCTGCCTTCCCTTCCTGCTGTCAGCCAGCCCTCTGCCCACAGGCCCAGCACAGTCCGGCATCCTGGTGGACCGAGAGGTAGTCAGCCTGTTCCTGCACTTTACTGTCAACCCCAAGCCTCGAGTGGAATTCATTGACAGGCCCCGGTGCTGCCTTCGAGGCAAGGAATGCAGCATCAACCGGTTCCAGCAGGTGGAAAGCCGCTGGGGCTACAGTGGCACCAGTGACCGAATCAGGTGGGACCTCAAGACCCCAGGTGGGGAGGTGGCTTGGGAAGGAAGGGGCAACAGGCACTTTGCATGGTCCTGAATGGGCAGGGTTTTGTGTGCCCTCTCCCTAGCTCTAAGTTGTCTGGCTCTCCGTGGCTGCTCTAGTTGCTCACCTTAATGGGCCCAGGGCGTCATCCATCTGCCACCTAATTCCTTCTGCAGGTTCTCTGTCAATAAGCGCATCTTTGTGGTAGGCTTTGGACTCTACGGATCCATCCATGGGCCCACTGACTATCAAGTGAACATCCAGGTACACTACCAGCCTTGCCCATGCCACACAGGTCCACCCTGCCAGCCTTCTGGCCACGCCCATAGTGGTCCCCTGTGCCTATCTCCACTCATACCACATCTTGTCCTATTAGACCTCACCATGACCACACCACATCCACTCTCCTTGAGACCATGCCCACAGCTCCCACCCACAAACCTTCATCAGTACCCTGCTGTAGTCCCGGTTTGCTAAGCAGCCTTGCTTCCCCAGATCATCCACACAGACAGCAACACCGTCCTCGGCCAGAACGACACTGGTTTCAGCTGCGATGGCTCCGCCAGCACTTTCCGTGTTATGTTCAAGGAGCCAGTGGAGGTCCTGCCCAATGTGAACTACACTGCCTGCGCCACGCTCAAGGTGGGGGCCACATGCATCCGAGGACACTGTCCTCCGCCCCTCCCGGCTGTGGGTGTCCCTTGTTATCTCCCCAAAGTCTGAGAGCTTCCCACCCTCACTGCTGTGCCTCCCACTCCCCGCCAGGGCCCAGACTCTCACTATGGCACTAAAGGCCTACGCAAGGTGACTCATGAGTCGCCCACCACAGGAGCTAAGACCTGCTTCACCTTCTGTTATGCGGCCGGGAACAACAATGGCACGTCTGTGGAGGATGGGCAGATCCCTGAAGTCATCTTCTATACCTAGGCCATTCTTCACCCAGGTCACCCTTGCCAGCCCAGGCCAGCTTCCCTCCCTGCCACTTCCCTCATCATCATGGAAGGGGCTGCCTTGTGTCCACAGTGACAAGTGTGACCCCCCCCACACCCCAAGGCACTGGGGAGTTGGTTGGTCCATGGGCTGGGCCTTGCCAAGACAATCCCTCAGTCTTGGGCAGAGCGGGCCTGATCCTGTATGGACAGCTGTTGGGGCTGAGGGCAGTGGCTTGGGAGTCTGGGTTGCCATTCTGCTCCCTATCCTGCAGCTCAGGACGGAAGGCCAGCTCTGTGCTCAGGGTGCTACGGCACCACTCGTCCGTTCTCTTTAACTGCACACTGCAATGCATTTGAGCCAGTGCTCAGGCCTGTCCTCCAGCCGATGGTTCGGGTTTCATGTTCCTTTGTTCTCTGCTGCTCCCTGGGGACCCAGGGCCTGACCTGTGTACACCGAGGCCACCTGAAGCCCTGGCCTACTGGGCATGTGCATGTGCAGGGCAATGGTCAGTCAGTCCTGAGCAGCCTCTGATGGGGGCTGATGTGCCTTGCTGGAAACTCTGCCCCAGGGTGGGTGAAATGTGGGCCACTGCTCCTGCTCCTCCCGCAGGGTTAGTACGAGGCCATCACCACCCAGCCTCTGTGGATCTGCTCCTCCCAGGTGTGGCCAGCAGAGCTCAGCTCTGAGCCTGCAGGGCTGGAGCAGCAGCTCAAGCCCCATCCAGATGCACTGGGCCCCCAGCTGGCCTGCTGTGGCACCCAGGGTACCACAGAACACCCTGTGCAAATCACAGCCCTGGCCTTCTTAAGGCCACCAGGTTCCCTGTCCACTGATGCCCTAGGAGGCGCAGTCCCCTGTCTGGGGCCCCTCTCCCTCATGCCTCCATACCTGTGACCTCCTGCCCAGCACCCATGTCCTCCCCAAAGCCATGGGAGGTGAGCCCTGCACACTGTGTCCCCAAATGATTTTTTTTAATAAAGGAAAGAAACATAAAACATCTTGATCCACCGAGTGCCACATCCTCTAAGGGCTGGGAAGTGGCTAACAATGTTGTCCCTAAGAATACCTTCCTAGTATCCCCAAAAGAGCAGAGGCAGGGAGCCAGGTTACAGCAAAAGCCAAGGCTCTGAAAAGGGAACTGTCATCTCAGCACCTAGGAGGCAGAGGCTGGAGGGTCTAGAGTTCTGGGCTAGGCTGGGATACATGACCACTGAAGAGAGGGTTCAGTGGTTGAGAGCACCCGCTGCTCTTGCAGAGGACCTGGGTTCCCAGCACCCATGTTGAGTGGCTCACAACCACTTGTGCCTCCAGTTCAGCAGCTCCCACCGAGTCTGGGCTCTGCACACACAAATGCATGATTTAAGATGATAAAAGTAGGCTGGGCAGTGGTGGTGCACACCTTTAACCCCAGTACTCAGGAGGGAGAGGCAGGTGGAGCTCTGAGCTTGAGGCTAGCCTGGTCTACAAATCAAGTTCCAAGACAGCTAGGAGTACACAGAGTTCTGTCTCAAAAAATCTAAATGGATAGATAGATGGTGAATCTTTTGCAGGGCAGTGGTGAAAAGATCCACCTTTAATCTTAGCACTCAGGAAGCAGAGGTAGGTGGATCTTTGTGAGTTCAAGGCCAGCCTGGTCTACTGAGCGAGTTCTGTCCTGTACAGCCTGCAAAGCTACAGAGAAACCCTGTCTAGGAACAAACAAAAAACCCAAGCAAAGAAAAAAATAGAACAAAAACATTATGACTAAAACACCAAAATGTGAAGAGGAGGTGAGGACAAAATAAAAGAAAGCTCCTGCAAGACACCTCAGCAGGCAAAGGACGCTATCCAGCCTGGCCACCTGAGTCTGAGCTGCAGATCCCACAGTAGAAGAGAATATTGTACACCTATGGGATGTGTACTCTTCCCCAGCCAGCCACACAAACACATAGGAGTCTTTATTTTGTTTTCTCTTGCTATGACAAAGCACCCAAGGCTGGGTGTATTGTGTGTGCATGCGTGTGTGTGTGTGTGTGTGTGTGTGTGTGTGTGTGTGTGTGGGGGGGGTCAGGGTTCAACCTGGGCTGTCTTGCCTTCCACTTTGAGTCAAGGTCTCTTGTTTGCTACTGTGGGCAGCACACTAGCTAACCTGCAAGCTTTAGGCCAGGTTCCTGTCCAGCTTCATGTGGACTCTGGAGATCTGAAGTCCAATGGCTTGGTATTGGCTTAGGGCTTCTGTTGCTGTGATAAACATCATGACCAACTCAGTTTGAGAAGAAAAGGAGTCAATTCCTTTTAGCTCACAGCTACAGTCCATTACTGAGGGAAGTCAGGCCAGGAGCCAGGAGAAACCCTGAATGCTCTTCAAGGATTGCCGATCCTGGACCACCTGCCTGGAACGACACTGCCAGCATCCATCAGTTGCCCAGAGGACAATTTGGTGTGGACATTTTCTCAATTGAGATTCCTCTTCCCAAATGACTCTAGCTTGTTTCCAGGTGACACACCCTCTCTCCAGCCCCTTAGCTGCACTCTAGCAGCTCAGCCCAGTACTGTCATCCACTCAGCCTCACTGAGGACACACTGGGAACTCACTGGAGAATAGCAAGTGGCTCATGCAGAGAAAGGCATTAGGAAGAGCACTTAAAGCAGCCACTTTTTTTTTTTTTTTTTTTTCTCCTGAGAAACTGTCCTCTGGAAGAGCAGCCAGCACTGTTAATCACTGAGCCATCTCCCCAGTCCACAAATATAAATATTTATTTATTCTTTTTGGTTTTTCTACAGGGTTTCTCTGTAGCTTTGGAGCCTGTCCTGGAACTTGTTCTGTAGACCAGACTGGCCTGGAACTCTGAGATCCGCCTGTCTCTGCCTCCTGAGTGCTCATATTAAAGGCATGGGCCATCACTACTCAGCTTTTTGTTTCTTAAAATTTGTATTTGTGGCTGGGCGTTGGTGGTGCACGCCTTTAATCCCAGCACTTGGGAGGCAGGGGTAGGAGGATCTCTGTGAGTTTGAGACCAGCCTGGTCTACAAGAGGGCAGCCAGGACAGCCTCCAAAGCCACAGAGAAACCCTGTAGAAAAACCAAAAAGAATAAATAAATATTTATATTTGTGGACTGGGGAGATGGCTCAGTGATTAAGAGTGCTGGCTGCTCTTCCAGAGGACAGTTTCAAAGCCCAGCATCCAGATGATAGCTCACAACTGTATCTCCAGTCTCAGGAGATCCAACAACTTGTTCTGGCTTCCTGGTGCATTACATACAAGATACCCATAGACATAAAATAACTTTTTAAAAAAACATTTATATTGCTGGGTGGTGCACACTTTTAATCCCAGCACTCAGGAGGCAGAGGCAGGCAGATCTCGGTGAGTTCTAGGCCAGCCTGGTCTAATGAGCCAGTGCCAGGATAGGCTCCAACGCTACAGAGAAACCCTGTCTCAAAAAAAAAAAAAAAAAAAAAAAAAAAAAAATCTGTGTGTTGTGTGTGCTGTGCGGTTCCTGTGGTACTGGGAGGAGACACTGGGTTCCCAGGTTCCCCAGGAATTGCTTATGTTATCTGAGGGGTGATCTGGGTTTTGGGAATGGCTGCAGTTCTTCACCTCTCTTCCCTTGCTCCAGCCCCTTATTTCCTTACTCTTAATTCTCACCATCACCCTCCATTCTCCCACAAACCCTTTATTTTACACAGGGTGCCTGTGCAAGCATGGAGCCTTGGTATCTGTCCCCAGTAGTGCAAACAGCAGGCTCACATTACCACTGCTTGCATTTCCTTTCCTGTGTCTCAGTCCTGTGCTTTGGTGTAACCTTCAGTTCTGCAACAGGGCAGCTGCCTGTTCCTGCTCCTCAGGTGGGCCTCAGTCTGCAGTGGGCCTTTACAGACCCCCACCTTGCAGGTGCTATTCTCAGAGGGACTACTGGTCCACCCAGACCTGTCCACCTTCTTGGGAACTGCTGGGTCCCTCAGGTTTGGGAGCAGCAGCCTTCCCACCCACCCATTTACCAGCCCCTTCCATCTTTCCCAGATGAGCTCGTGCCCAGCTCCTACATAACTCAAGTGAGCCAGCTGGGTTTCTCCTGTCCCTATACTGGAATGTCCTATGGATTGCAAAGACCAGGCTCATGCTTGGGGATGGTTTCATTTTCTTTTATTTTTATTTTTTTAAAAAAAGCCTCTAAACTCTATGGCTTCAAGGAAGCGCCGGAGAAACATAAGTTCATTTCTGTACATGTCGTAAAGCAAGAACTCAGCTCCCGCGACCACAGTCTGGCCCTCCCATGGGGACCGCCTTTCCACCGCCCTAGGTTGGGGCGTTAAGGTGATTCTGTCCCAGGGGCCTAGCACGCAGGGACATGCATGGGTCACGGCTGCCCTGGCTCCTTGGGTCCCAGACCAGTCCCTGCGTGTTGACCGTCCCACGCTCTGCCCTGGCTTTGGTGCAGCATTGTGGTATCGCACACGCCTCCCCTTTGGTGGCCAAGGCCTGGTGGCCTCCCCATGTGACTGACACCCATGCCCCGGGCCTGCCCCCCTCGAGAAAATGGCCTTTGGATCGAGGGGACAAGCTGGACTTTATGAGCTAACGGGGGCGCAGCAGGGACGGTGCAACGCTTCTCTCCTGGTTTTAAATAGTTAATGCTCTCGAAGGGGACGAGACATGGGCGTAGAGATTTCCTCCAAAGTCCTGTGTGAAGGAAGTGACCCCAAGTCCCTGAAGATGGTGCCTGAAGTTGGGCCAAGGAGCCCCATGCCAGTGAGGACACTGCCAGCCTCCTGGACACCTGCCCGGGGACTTTGGGTAGCAGCTGCACCCACCCTCACTTGTGTCGCTGCAGAGATTTTCTCTTTCTCCTCTTGAAGAAGCAGCAGCACCTGTGGGGTGGCAAAGGGAGCTGATATGGAACGGGGGCAGAGTGACAAGGGGAGAGGGTGAAAGGTGACAGGGGAGTGGTAAGGAGGTGGCATAGGGGTCCACAAAGGGGGGTGGTGACAAGAGGAGTGGTGATGGGGTGAATGGTGACCAGCATGGGCAGGCTCCGTCACAAAGAGTCCTGGGCCTTACTTGGTTTCATCCGCCACCTCTACTTCTGCAGGGGCTGCAATGGGGGCGTTCGAGTGGCCCGCGGTGGGGTCATCTGCATTCAGCTCTCCATTAGTGGAGTTCAGTGCCTGGGAGGGCAGTGGCTATCAGGCTACCACCCCTGCTTGCCTTGTCAGGTGTGTCACAGGCCTCCATCCCCTCCAGGAACAGACCCCGGCCCTCACCTGGTTCTTGCTGTGGGCCTGGGCTTTGTCACGATGTGGTGGCTGGGAGGGCACGTCAGTGTGGACGGTGCCGATTGGTGTCGGCTGCGAGAGCAGATGTCAGGACCGGGTGGAGCCGCAGGCGCCGCTGCAGCCCCAGGACAGTTCCTGACCCGAGCCCTCTGGACGACAACCCCTCCTCCCACCGAGGCTCCCACTCACGACCCCTATATAATCTGGAGGTGGGGTGCACCTGCACCCTTTCAACTACTGGGCTCCCACCCTGGGGCACCTCCTCACTTGCAGGGACATCCACCCAGCAGATGGAAACGCACCCACCCGCGGGGCTCTCCCCCTCTGCGTACCCACCCGCGGGGCTCCCCCCCCTCTCCGCACCCCACGCGGGGCTCCCCCCTCTCCGCACCCCACGCGGGGCTCTCCCCCTCCGCACCCCACGCGGGGCTCCCCCCTCTCCGCACCCCCACCCGCGGAGTTCCACATTTTTACCCCTGAAGTTAGTTTAATCACGCCTTCTCTCACGTCACCTGCACGTACCAGAGGCTTCCCGGCCCAGTCGTACTCGTAGTCGAACACATAGCCGCTGCGGTCGAAGAGGTCGGTGAAGAGCTTCCTCAGGTAGTCGTAGTCTGGCTTCTCAAAGAAGTCCAGGCGTCGTACGTAGCGCAAATAGGTGGCCATCTCCTCTGCAAAAAGTCAAGGACCAGGGGTGTGGTCACGTGAACAGCCCTGAGTGAGATGTGGCTGCTGCCACACTGTGGGACAGAGCCAAAGGGCATGGCCTGGCCACGGCTCCTCACCCGGGAAGCTCTCACACAATGCCTCAATGGGTGTGGCGCGCTTGGTGTCACCGATCTTCTGGTAGCGCTCCTTCAGTGTGTCGGCCTGCATGATATGAACTTGGTCAGGGTCAGCGCCCAGTTCTACGCCCCACCCCCACCTGGGAGGCCCTGTCTACCTTGAGCCCCTGCCAAGGCAGGCTGCCACGCAGGAAGTACATGAACATGTGTCCCAGCGCCTCCAGGTCGTCCCTACGGCTCTGCTCTGCGGGGACAGCATGGGCTCAGCCACTGTCCCATCCCCCCCACTCCACCCACAGCCTGCCCGCATCTCACCCTTGCCCAGGTGTGTGTTGATGCTCATGTAGCGTGCTGTGCCCGTCAGGCTCTTGTGCTCGCGGTATGGGATGTGCTTCTTGGTCTCAGGGTCGATATACTCCTTGGCTAGCCCGAAGTCGATGATGTGGATGGCATGCTGCCGTTTGCTGCCCGGCCGCCCAACCAGGAAGTTCTCCGGCTTCACATCGCGGTAGATGAGACTCTTTGTATGCACATACTCCATGCGCGTGATCTGCCGACCGGATTCGGGTTCAGTGCCCTGGCTCCACTCCGCCCCACTCCAACCCGCCAGCCCACCCCTCCGCACCAGCTGGATGGCGATCATCAGCACTGTCTTCAGTGTGAAGGTGCGGTCGCACAAGTCGAACAGGTCCTCCAGGCTGGGCCCCAGCAGCTCCAGCACCATGGCATTATACTTCCCGCAGGGGCCAAAGTAGTAGACCTGAGGGACACCCTCTGTGGAGGAAACACGTGTGCTGGACGCCTGGAGCCCCTGCCCTTCCCACACCCCATGCCCGCTGAGGAGCCCACACACCTCGTGCCCGCCTCACCTGCCGTGCTAAGCTGCTTATAGAAGCGGTACTCCAGATGCAGCTGCGGGGCACGGGACTTGATGGGCTCCTGCAGGACAGGGGATTGTTACCCAAGCCCTCCTCCTGGGCCTGGGGCAGGGCAGGGCAGGGCAGGGCAGGGCAGGGCAGGGCAGACTCACCAGCTTGATAGCCACGTACTCATTTGTATACAGGTTCTTTCCTGGAGGAGGGGTGACAGAGCATCAGGATTGTGGGCTACCGAGCCCATCCCACCCAGATCCCATGGAGCTTGCGGCACCCCTCCCAGCTGCTCACGCACCCTGTGCTAGCTGCACACCTCACTTCTTGTATGCAGTCATGGGGAGAGGTCTCCCCCTTGGGCCCCAGCAGGTCATGAGAGTCCTTTCTCACACTGGAGGCAGTTCCACAAAACCACATATACTACACCAAGATGGCTTGGCTGAGTGGAGGTGGTGCTCAGTCTCCATGCTGCTAATCCTACCCCGCCGTATCTAGCAGTAGGACCAGTTCCACAGTCTGCCTCTCCTGTGGGGTTCACATCTGCCATACCCCAGCCAGCCCCAACACCCTGTTTACCTCAGCATCACTAATCACAAAGGCCACCTCCAGGACCACACCCCCCAGTGGCTGTACATGCCACCCCTGAAGGGAAATATGTGCCTACCATAGTGGCCCAGCATACAGCAGCAGGCAGAGAGCCACTGGGTGGGTCCCATGGCCAGGCTCTGTCCAAACTACCTTAGCAGCTGTCAGGGCATCTGTTCCCAGTTACAGCCAGCCATCAGCTATGACACAGCCCTGTTTTGGTCCCTAGGCACCCGGCAAGGATGCCCACTCCCTGGCTTCTCCTGGACATCACCACCCATCAGCCACCACGCCCTTGCCATCAGCATGGAGTTCCTCTACCGACAACAGGGCAGTTTAGGGCCTACCTCTAGCTTGTCTCCCTTTGGCAGTTATAGCTTGCCATCTCCTGTGACCCACCAGAGCACCTCAGGCTGTGTAAGGTGCAGTGCCAAGGGGTTTCTTTAGAGATGGTCTAGTCCCCACCCCTCCACCTCACAATGGCTGTCCCTTGCAGGGTGGCAGGGCTTGCTCTCTGTGCTAGGTCAGCTGTCACCAGGGAGAGGCTTTTTAAGTGTGCCCACTTTCCCCTGGACTGTGCCTCTACAGAGCCACGCTCTCACACGCTGGGAAGCTGGGCTCTGCTGAGGGGACACCTTCCCATGAGCAGGTGTCTCCAACTTTAACCACGTCAGGGCCACTTTTCTTCTGCCGACATTCCCCTAGAGCTCTGCTGAAGACAGCTTCCAACACCCAGCCCTGACCTTCTGCTGGCCTGCCTGGCACCTAAGCCAAGTCCTTGGGTGAGCCAGGACCCTGGCACATGACAGGCACTAGAAGTTCTGATGGATGTTAGACCCACACAGGTTGATGTTGCAGTTGCTCCAGTTATGTGGGGGCACGGACATTCTGAGACCAGTGTGCAAGCGAGCCCTCCATCTTGGTGTGAGGTGGCATCTGGAGGCCAGCCAACAAGGAGCTTAGTGTAGGGTGCTGCTTGACATGCTAGCTGACAACGTGAGTTTGAACTCCAACAATCCACAGAAAGGTGGAAGGAGATGCGACTCTCTAGAGCTGTCCTCAGACCTCCAAAGGGATGTACGGCATGTGTGCTCCCCAATACATATACACAACACTTTCCCTTAAACGTGGAAGTGTCTGGGGAGATGGATCTGGGTGCAGGGCCCAGCATCCACAAGGGGTCTCACAACTGTCCCTCACTTTAATTCTACAGGGTCCAATGCCCTTTTCCAGCTTCCCTATGCATAAAGACAAACACCCATACACAAAAAACAAAGTTTTTAAATCTTAAGAGAAAAAAAAAAGTGTGTGTGTGTGGGGCTAGGTAGAAGTGGCGGTACACACTTCATCCCAGCACTTGGGAAGCAGAGGCAGGTGGATCACTGTGAATTCTGGCTAGCGTGGTCTACCCAGTGAGCTGCAGACCAGCCAGTGCTACACAGTGGGACCCTGTCTTAAAATTCAAAATAGGGGATGGGGGGGGGCGGGAATTTGGCCCTATAATAAGAAAAAAGTTGCACAGACATGAGGACTTCAATTTTCCCATTTAATGAACAATTACCTCTACAGATCCAAGGAGCTCAGTGGCCCCAGGCCAGATAAACAGACCTCCTGGAGTAAGAAAGGAAGAAGGGGCCAGAATAAAGTCTATCCCTGAAGAGGGTGAAGACTCAGGCAAGAGGTACCCCATACTCACCAGGGAAACTATCACCTTCAAAGCCTTTTCTCACTTTGTGGGCAGGGGGAAGGGAGACAAATTCTCACTGTGTAGCCCAGGATAACCTACAATTTAGGGAGTCCCCTGCCTCAGCATCCTCAGTGATTGAAGTTAGTTTAGAGCTGGGGTGGAAAGGGAGCTGGCCTTGTACCCCAACAGAGGTCGAAGCACCCAGATTGGTAGCATAAGCTTCACCCCTTGCAGCCAGAACAGGGAGCACCAAGTATCCTGGAATATAAGCCCAGAATCCGACACACAAGCTCCTGCACAGAGTACAGTGGAAACCAATTAAGGGCTTACTCTGCCCAAGCCCTGATACAGATCTGTATAGGACCTGAGCTGGTGAGAAGCCACCTCAACTGCCTGAAGATAGGAGCCTTTCAAGTTCTTCTGGCCATGTGTACCTGCAAGCATGTATTCATGCTTGCCCACAATGTGTGGCTCTGTGTTCAGGGCTGCAGTTTGATCTCTCTCCATCATGGTGGAGAAACCATTTTCAGCTGGGCCTCAGGAGACACCCGAGGTCTCGGACTGCAGGCAGAAGGCTCAGACTAAGGCCACAGAGCGCAGACCTGCAGGAATTGTACCAGGATGGGGTCCCAAGCTGGCCTGACACAGCCAGTGAGTGTGACAACCAACAACAGCCTCAGTGTGACCAGACTGTGTCCCCCCCATCAACTCACTGACCAGATGGAACTGTCACCTGAAAGGTGGGTCAGAAGTGAAGGGTGACAGTTCTAGTAGGGCACACATGCCCACTGTGTCAGGGGCCCTCAGGGGCCTTTGCGGTAGTCTCCATCTGCTCCCCAGGCATCGCTTCTAGGTGAGGTCTAAGGACCTGAGCTGCCTGATGGGTCTAAGCACAAGACTGGCCCATTTTATTATGATTATTTAAAATGTATTTAATATGCATTGGTGTTTTCTCTGCATGCATGTCTGTGTGAGGGTGTTATAGATTTCCTGGAGCTAGAGTCATAGACAGGTATGAACTGCTGTACTTGGAATTGAACCCAGGTCCTCTGGAAAAACAGCCAGTGTTCTTAACCTCTGTTTTTCTTTTCTTCTTAAGAATCTAGATGGGGACAAGCTCCTGCACATAGGTCTCCCACAACCCTACTCAGGGCCAGAATGTGACACCTTTGGCCTCCTGGGCACTGCTGCAATCAACAGAGGGGCACTCAGGGGCTCAGCACCAGGCCCTGTGGACCAGGCCTGGCAGAGGCTGTATGGTGACATGAACCACTGGAACAGGTGCTAGGCTCTGCAGCCCAGAGGCCAGGGTAAGGGAAGCTATGACTCCATCACTAAGCCTCTTTCCCACTGCTTGCAGATAACCACCACAAAGCCAGGGTCCCTCCTCCCTCCTGAAGACCCTAGTGATGAGCTGAGGACAGGACATGCAAACTTACCTAGGCGAAGCTCTCCGAAGTTCCCACAGCCTATCTTCTTGCCGACTCGGAAGTTGGGGCCCACCATCAGGACCCCTGAGCTGGTCCCCGAGCCACGGACGCCATGGTTGCTCCGGCTTGTGCCAGTCTTGGACATTCTCCGGCCCTCCTCCAACTCCCCCTTCCCTCCTTTCTTGTCAAAATCCATAAGTTTGTGGTACCCTGGCCTCTCCACGGTGACTCTGCCGTGAGATCCGAGTGTGAAATCTGAGCTCACGCCCAGCCTAGTACACCATTGCGCCCAGTGGCCCCTCAGCTCCTGGTTATTGACACCCAGGCGCGCTCGCAGGCACAGCTGCAGTGCTCATCTTGGTGGCCTCAGGGTCGCTTGCAGGGAGAGAAGACATTGTACCAACAGGTCCCAGCGCCTTAAATGTTGTGGTGCCCAGCTGTGAAGAAACAGAGGTACAGGTTAGCAGACAGTGGCTGATGTGCTCCCAGCTGGGCTGCTCCTCAAAGATCTCTGAAGGTGTGAGCAAGAGCTCCCCCCGGGGACATAGGGAGGAAGGGACATCTGTCTGTGTGGGAGATACACAAGCCCTGCTGACCCACAGAGGTCAAAGATCACAGCAAAGGTTACTGTGGTGTGACCAGGGGGAGGCTGATAGAGAGAGACTGGTGTAGCCATGTACCCTACTTGCCACAACGACTGTGCCATCAAGTGGCACCCACACCTTGGGAGCCGAAAACAGGAAAGTCAGATCCAGGGTAAGAGGTGACCCACAGTCAGGCGGTGGTGGCACACGCCTTTAATCCCAGCACTCGGGAGGCAGAGGCAGGTGGATCTCTGTGATTTTGAGACCAGCCTGGCCTACAGAGCGAGTTACCAGACAGCCTCCAGAGCTACCATGAGAAACCCTGTCTTGAAAAACCAAAGAGGTGACCCACAGGCCAGAACACAACAGGGGCTACCAAGACAAGGAAAGTGACAGATAGCAGAGCAGGTGGTTCTTATGGACCAAAAGGGTAAGTGAAGGGACTCCAACCATGCAGGCAGCCATGGCAGCAAGGCACATGGCATGTGGTGCTGGGTGAGCAGGGAGAGTATGGTAGGGCCCTGGGCAGTGGTGCCCACCCCTGCATCCACAGACACAGCCCCCATGACTGGCTGTCTTTCCAGGTTGCCAGGCCATCCACATAGGAGGACTTGGCCAGCTTCGGGAAGTGCCCAAGGATGGGCACACTCACTCCTGGATCACAGAAGTCAGGACAGAGACAGTGATAGACAGGGGATGCTGGGAACACACAGCCCAGCCTGACTGAAGCCGATCTCCAGGCTATGCTAAACCTCTGCAGGTGCAAGGGGTTACAAGGGGGGGGGGGACCTGCTACAACGGGTCATTTCTGACCTATGACCAGGACAGTGGAAGTGTCACACAATTCAGGGTCTTATGAAAGCTAAGCCAAGAACACAGCCCCATCTGAAGGCAGCAGAACCTCAGGTGCTCGAAGCCATGGCAGGCCTCACAGTGCATTCTATGGCCTGCCAACTCCAGGCCTGTAGGGACCTAGAATATCTGGATGCAACTGCTCCCTCACTGTCTAACTGTATAGACTTAGTGCTCTTATCTGCATTCTGGTTTCACCTGTAGTAAGGGTCTCTTCCTGAACAGGGTTCAGGAGTCCTACTCTATGCACCTCACTGGGTAGCCCAGGTTGCCACACCTGCTTCTATGTGAGTGCTGGGTCACACCCAGATCCCCATATTTTCAAGGTAAGCACTTTACCAATGAAGCCAACTGCCCAGGCCTTGGGGTTTGTTTTTGAGACAGGATCCTCCTGCCTTAGACTCTGAGAGCTGAGTTCATAAGTATATGCTGCCACGGGCAGCCATTCAGGGGCATTCTCACCTACCAGTCCATTGTGGATGTGTGTGTTCTTGGGGCACATTTGCAGAGGCTGTCAGTCTGCTTCCCAGCTCAGCCCCCCAGCATTCCATCCCCTCCCACCATCCATCTCATCCGGGCAGTGGTTTGCTTACCCAGTCCTATTTCCATACTCTTCTGCTAGGTTGTAGTTAGCAGACAGCCCAGTGATGCAGCGAGCTATCAGAGACCATAGTGGCCATAGCACCATCATGTGCATTCACTGACAGCAACCCACACCATGGCTCTCCTCATTGCGGGGCATAAGGGAACCCTGGGCAGTCAGCCTGACTCCCCAATGGAAATGTCCAAACTCCTTGGATATGCAGCAAGCAACCTCTTCTCAAAATAAAGGGGACCACTGAAAAAAAAACAGGAGTGGGGCTCACTCCCAGCTCAGATTCCCACTGTGGGGGGTCCCACAGGGCTGGAGACCAGATTCCCAAAGCATCCTTACAGTGGCTCACAGCAGCCCACATGGGTCACCACAACACGGACAGCTACACCACAGGTCACTAAGGACTTGCACTCCACTTAGGACACCCACAAAAGCTCAGCACCCTGGGAGAAGCCTTGCTATCTTCATTCATTCCACTCCCCCACCGTGGACACCAGTGGGAGAAGCCCTTGGCTTTGCAGAAGGCTCAACAGGTTGGGCCACTCAATAACAACAGCTTGGGAGGCACTGGAAGGCATGCCCACGGGACTAGCACCATAAGGTGCAAGCACTGTGGGCCTCACGGATGGTAAGAAGAGAGGTGTGGCTAAGGGCCCACTCCAGGACTCATGGACCACCAGGGGCAGGTGCAGAGTCAGGAGACTGACAGAGACTGCACCTGGGCCATATGAGCCTGGTGAAGACTCCGCAGCACAAAACAAGCATTTACATTTCACTCTTGCTCAGGGCCACACCTGGGCAACTGTCATTCAGAATACTCCCTCCACACATGATCACCATGAAGTCCATGACTACCTTACTGATGGGATTTCCTTCCCATTAGGAAGCACTTACAGGGCTGACAGTGGCTCAGTGGGCATTCAGGAAGTCGTGGGACCATCCCTAACACAAACCAGATGTGGAGGTGTATGCTATCATCTCAACATGCAGGAGGCAAAAGCAGGATTGGGAGTTTAAGGCCAGTCCGGGCTACTACAAGAGACCGTTCTCAAAATATCACAGGTCAACAAATGATAGCTCAGTGGGTAAGGCTGCCTGATGCTGATGACCCACATCTCATCACTGGGATCCCCTAGTGGAAGGAGATAATGGTCCTCCATACACATGGGGTAGTATGCACACACTCCTATAAACATATGCTCATACAATGAAAATTTAAAAATTGCACACAAACACAGAGAGGGAGTGTTCAGTGGGGGAGCCCAGGGTTCTACATGTCACAGGTGATGCACTCATATGAGGAAGGGCCATTTAAATAGGGTCACAGGTCTACAGGGAGCCAGCTCTTCCCTGCACTTGTCCTGTGAGAGCAGCCTGGGCAGTCCTTTCCTCGAGTGCCCTCTGCAGAGGGCAGGTGAAATTCCACCATGGGGCTCATCTGTGCGGGAGGGCTGCATGGAGCAGGCAGCACTGAGCAGGGGAAGTAACAGCAGGGGAGCCTAGAGCAAGGACACATGGCTGTGTCAAATGCAAGGACTCTTATGAGAGGATAGGACAGGCTGCTATGTCTTTCTCAGCACGCTGGACGGCTGCAAACCTGTGGCCTGCAAAGCTGACCATTGCAGGCCCAGGGCTCCATAGCTCACCTATGGTGTGTGGAGGAAAAAGACCCAGGTGGCACACAGCAACTGCCACAGTTAGCAGCAACAGGCAGCATATGGTTTGTTCTGGAGGCTCAGTCCAGCTAGGATGTGCAGAGGGTAGGGCATCTGCAGAGCTGGGCAGGAGCGATGGCAAATGAGGGGGTAGGAGGATCCTGCACAGGTCACCAACCACTGGCAGGCTAAGAAGAAAGCAGGCCCCACATCCTGAGTGGACATGGCAGCAAGGTGACACCAGAGTCACCTCTCCCTCTCTTGTTCCCATACATCCTACAGTTCACACAATAGCCACTGCCTTTCTTATGTCAGTGTCACCAGGCCAGGCGAGGTAGACAGGTCACGGAGGACCTGAAAGCTGGCATGAGATAAGGCCACACTGTAGGGGATGGTGGGAACAACCTGAGGTCATCATGGCTGCCCCAAGACACGGACCAACTGTGCACCATTCCTCACTCACAAAAAGAGCTACACAGACATGGGCTATGTGGGCTATGTGGCAGTCCGTGGTGTCCAAGAGAGGAGCGGTGTCTACCACACAGCTGACACTCCAACAGAGGGCCAATGAAAGACACAATCTTGGTGACAAGCAGCTTTGGTGTCGCAGGCACACCTGAACATGTGCAGAGTGACCTGGGGCCCCAGAAAAGAGGAAATGTCGCTAGTCCTGGCCTTGGCTGAAGCTTGCAGCTAAAAATAGAGTGGTTGGAAGGCAAGCAGGCCTTCCCAGCCCTAAATAAACCCTCCTTGGCCTGACCCACAAGGCCTAGAGCCCAGGCTGTCTCAGGGGTGAGCCCAGGCACAGGGGAAATGCTGGGCTGGCATGGACAAGGACAGGCCGAGAAGCCAGCAATAGGGTGCTCACTCAGGGAGCTGGCTGACAGCAGGCTGGACTCCCACCAGAGACACCCCTCCTTGCAAGGCCCCAGCACGCACCTGCCCTGTTCTTTTTGGGGTCCCCCATCTTGCTGGGGCCCTGGCTGCTCCCCTGCTGGAGGCCCCAAAGACCCTTCTCTGCATCTTCACTCAGTGATGTCACAGTCCCTGGCTGACGTCACTGGCAGTTCCCAAGCTAGACCTGGTACCCACCTGAGAAGACAAGCAGGGACAACACTCACCATGGGAGCCCAGCAGTGGATGGGGATCTGGGCTGTAATCCCAGAGCTACTACTCCTGAATGACTGCCCAACATGGACAGGCTGTGCCACATCAGGACTCTTCAGCACTGCCAGTCCTGGAAGACTACTGGAGAAACTTGGGGTTCAAACCAAGATAAGAATGGAGCCTGACCAGCAGTCCTGGTGACACCTGGCCAGTGGGCAGCAAGACTGCACATATAGTTGGGATCAGATGACCAAAGGGATATGTCTGCCCATGAGGCTGATGGCAACAGGGGGAGGGGCAGGGGCTTGGGACTCCTACACAGGCCCACACCGAGGCCAGGAGACTTCTCAGTTCCTTGTCTTTGGAGAAAGGCACCCCAACTTGCTCCTGGCCATGCATCACTGCTCCCAAAGGTACAAGGGGATGGCTGGGGATGCGTGCGGAGGGAGCACTGTGTTGGTGGGGGCACTTCTGTGCAGCAGTGAGGCTGGGCTCTGCTGGGCAGGGACATGCGGCTACGGTCAGTGTTGGAGGCTCACCAACAGCTGGGCTGACAACCCCCAGAAAAGAGCTGAGAGCCTGAATCACAGCAATGGGAAGACCTGTGTGTGTGCCAGTGAGGGTCTAGGACCATCTGGGAGTGT